GAGAGAGAGAGAGGGAGAGAGAGAGAGAGAGAGGAAGAGAGAGTGAGAGAGAGAATAGATAAAAAAAAACAAATAAAAAAACAAATAGAGATTTTCATAGAGACTAGTGAAAGAGCATGTATTTGCAAAAGTCCTTTAGATCGCTCCATCTCTTTGCACTCGGCAGCCAACACGTCTATCCCTTGCAGAACCCGGCACGTCCTCAGAGCAACAGGTGATCACGCAGCTGTCAGGCCCGACGGAGGTGCAATATGGCGAATCAGCTGTTTTCACCTGCAACGTCAGACCTGCTTGGCCAGTCAAGGTGAGTCTGGTGATAGCTGTGGTCCATTATTTGTCACTGTTTATCTTCCTTGTAGTTGGTGTTCATCTTATTTCGCATATTAGAATTTTGGTGTGTAATTGGGTCGGGTTATTTCTTGTATGTTTGCCGAAGGTACTCTCTCTCCTATTTAATCTTGTGAATGTTGTTCCCAGCGAGTGTTATTCATGATGGATAAAGTGTAATAAAAAAAAATTGAATTTTCTCCTACTCAAAACCTTTTTCTGGATATTATATATCGGGGGGAAATGGCTAATAATTTTACTTACTCTATTTCCAACTTATTTTGATGTCATTTGCTGCGGATGAAAAGTAGCGATGTGATAAAAAAGTAATTGATTCATATTTTTTTCCACATTTTAATTAGGAGAGCTAGAAAACACCTGTTGATTTGTCTCCTCCTCTCTCTCACTTTCTATTTCTCTTGATTGTGCTCTTTCTCTCTGTTTGTCTCTCTTTCTCTCTCTCTTTCATTCATGTCTTTCTCTTTCTCTCACTCTCTTTTTTGTTTCTCTCATTCTCTCGTTTTTCTCTTTTTTTTTCTCTCTATCTCTTTCTCTCACTCTCTCTTTTCTTTTTTCTCTCTCTATCTCTTTCTCTCACTCTCTTTTTTTTTCTCTCTCTATCTCTTTCTCTCACTCCCTTTTTTTTCTCTCTCTATCTCTGTCTCGCAGTCTCTCTTTTTTTCACTCTCTATCTCTTTCTCTCACTCTCTTTTTTTTTCTCTCTCGATCTCTTTCTCTCACTCTCTCTTTTTTTCTCTCTATCTATCTCTTTCTCTCACTCTCTCTTTTTTTCTCTCTATCTATCTCTTTCTCTCACTCTCTCTTTTTCTCTCTCTCTATCTCTTTCTCTCACTCCCTTTTTTTTCTCTCTCTATCTCTTTCTCTCAGTCTCTCTTTTTTTCACTCTCTATCTCTTTCTCTCACTCTCTCTTTTTTTCTCTCTCTCTATCTCTTTCTCTCACTCTTTTTTTTCTCTCTCTCTTTTTTCTCTCTCCATCTCTTTCTCTCACTCTATTTTTTTTCTCTCTCTGTATCTTTCTCTCACTCTCTCTATTTTTTCTCTTTCTCTCATTCTCTCTCTTTTTTCTCTCTCTCTATCTTCCTCTCACTCTCTCTTTTTTTTCTCTTTCTCTCACTCTCTCTCTCTTTTTTTTCTCTTTCTCTCATTCTCTCTATGTGTCTGATCCGCCTTCTGCCGCCGCCTCCGCCCGTAGGTGACGTGGCTCAAGGACGGCGCCGAGATCCCCGCGACGACCCGGGTCTTCACGCAGAAGGTGCAGCGCGTGGCGGCCGAGGACGGGGGCGGCGAGCTCCTGCAGGCGACGCTGACCGTGGACTCCGTCAGGACCAACAAGACCTTCACCTGCCGGATCGAGACGGAGCCGGCGGAGGAGCGGAGCGTCAGCGTCGTCGTTAGAGGTCAGGGGTCAGGGGGGGCGAAGAGGGAG